CCCCTCCCCCAGCCAGCCCCAGCCTGTCCCGGTGCATGGGACTGTTCTGTCCTAGGTGCATGACTCTGCGCTTGTCCTTGTTGAACCTCATGAGATTCCTTTTGGCCCAATCCTCCAATTTGTCTAGGTCACTCTGAATCCTTGCCCTCTCCTTCAGCGTATGGTGGTGGACGGGTCTTATTCAACCTGGAGGGACGTGAGCAGTGGGACTCCGCAGGGCTCAGTCCTTGGGCCCGCACTGTTCAACATCTTCATCAGCAACTTGGATGAGGGTGTAAAAAGCACCCTGTTCAAATTCTCAGATGACACTAAGATGTGGGGAGAAGTGGGCAAGCTAGAAGGAAGGGACAGGCTGCAATCAGACCTAGACAGGTTACAGGGGTGGGCTGATGAGAACAGGATGGGTTCAACACTGACAAGTGCAAGGTGCTGCACCTGGGGAGGAAGACTCATCAGTATACCTACAGGCTGGGGAACTCCCTTCTCGACAGTGCAGAGGCAGAAAAGGATCTTGGAGTCATTATTGATGCCAAAATGAACATGGGCCGACAGCGTGAGGACGTGGTCAGGAAGGCCAATCGTACTTTGTCACGCATCCACAGATGCATCTCGAGCAGGTCCAAGGAGGTGATGCTCCCCCTCTATGCGACACTGGTCAGGCCGCAGTTGGAGTACTGCATCCAGTTCTGGGCACCGCACTTCAGGAGGGATGTGGCCAGCATGGAGAGGGTCCAGAGGAGGGCCACTCGCATGGTCAGGGGCAGCAGGGCAGGCCCTACGAGGAGAGGCTACAGGACCTGAACCTGTTCAGCCTCCACAAGAGAAGGCTGAGGGGGGATCTAGTGGCCATTTACAAACTGGTCAGGGGGGACCAGCAGGCATTGGGGGAGTCCCTGTTCCCTTGAGCACTCCCAGGAGTGACAAGAAATAATGGTCACAAGCTGGCAGAGAGTAGATTCAGGCTAGACATCAGGAGGGGCTACTTCACTGTCAGGGCGGCTAGGATCTGGAGCCAACTTCCAAGAGACGTGGTGCTGGCTCCTACCCTGGGGGGCTTTAAGAGGAGGCTAGATAGACACCTTGCTGGGGTCGTTTGACCCCAGTACTTTTTCCTGCCGTGGCAGGGGGTCGGACTGGGTGTTCTGCTCAGGTCCCTTCCAACCCGACCAACCATGAAACTATGCATCTACTACTCCCCCCAGCTTGGTGTCATCTGTAGACTTGGTGAGAGTGCGCTCTGTGCCATCATCCAGGGTGTTGATGAAGACATCAAACAAAACTGGCCCCAGGACCGACCCCTGGGACACTGCGCTTGTTACCGGCTGCCAACTAGACATTCAGCCATTGATTACTACCCTCTGAGCCCGATGCTCCAGACAGTTTTCTATCAGCCTTACAGTCCATTCATTCAGCCCGTACTGCCTTCGCTTGCCTGTGAGAATGTTGTGGGAGACTGTAGCAAAAGCCTTGCTAAAATCAAGGTACACCACATCCACCCGTCTCCCCACATCCACAGAGCCAGTCACCTCGTCATAGAAGGCAATCAGGTTGATCAGGCATGACTTGCCCTTGGTGAATCCATGCTGACTGTTCCTAATCACCTTCTTCTCCAAGTGCTTAGAAATGGATTCCTTGAGGATCTGCTCCATGATTTTTCCAGGGACTGAGGTGAGGCTGACTGGTCCATAGTTCCCTGGATCTTCCTTTTTTCCTTTCTTAAATATGGGCACTATATTTGCCCTTTTCCACTCATCTGGGACCTCTCCTGATCGCCATGAGTTTTCAAAGGTGATGGCCAATGGCTCTGCAATCACATCCGCCAGCTCCCTCGGGCGCATCCCCATCAGGCCCCATGGACTTGTACACACCCCGCTTGGTGCAGTGCCAAGGGAAAAGTCAACAAAGCTACAACCTACAGGCTGGGCAAGGAGGATGCAGGAAGTTAAAATGCAGTTTATGGGTTTATGCAAATTGATCAGATATATGCAAAGATACACACTGAAAATGTTGCACGGAGCTGCCCAAATCTCAGTAGCCACCGTCCCAGTTTTCTAGCGGGTAAATCTTCTATTCTTTTCATTCCTTTTACCATAACATGCCACTGGGATGTCTCAACAGTCAGGGCCAAAATATTTAGCTAAAAAGTTACAGACAGGTGCTTAGACGGTCTCGAAAACTCTGGCAATTTGCACTTTCACTTTTACTTCTAAGGCCTAAATACATCCAGTAAGCTGGCCCTTCCTCAGTGCCCACAGCATGACTCTCCTAAGATAAGATGGTTTTCAGAGTCTCAGGCCAGATGTGTACAGTTTGTTCCTCGACACAGCTTTTTTACTACATTTCCAATTTCCCAGACCCACCAAAACTTTTTCTTTTAGGGAGAGGAATGGTGGAATTTCCATTTCCTGGAAAATACCTCAAAACACTCCCTTTTGCCTTGCCACAGCCAAGACTTACTTCTCACCACAGCAAACTGTTTCCTACCTGTAATGATGTGATTGCAGCTCCCCCCACCCTGTCCACCAAGAATACTAAAGCTGAGGCCAGCACCTCCGCAGGCTCTGGGCAGATGTCGCACTGTGAAGGCAGCGTTTAGTCACTCCAGGGAACATGCGACATGGGAAGGAGGGAGACAAGCCATATCATGGGAACATTTCATGGTTCAATAGGTTTTTCTTGAGTGCTCTTCTTCCCGCTCAGAGTCCCAGAGGATTCTCCCGAGTGTCCCCTTGCATCTCTCTGGCTCTGGCAGCCCCACAGGGGGTGTAACCATGGGGGTTATATTCTGACCAAAAGCAGCAGCCAGGTGGATTCTGCTGGGTTCTTCCTTCACATACTCACAAATGTCAACACCAGCATCTTCTTTTTCCTCTTGGATTCTCGCCCAAGTTCCCACTAGCCCAGCTCCCATGCACTCCTGCTGTTTAGTTTTCACTAGATACCACGGACTTCATTTTGTGAGACCCCACCAAAAGCAGCATAAACTGCTCACAGAGTGAACATCTGGCTCATGTGTGACAGCAACTGAACAGAGAGAACCACCCCCAGCAAGTTTCCTCTTACAGCTCCTGTGCACAAACAACACCTTGCCCCAGATAAGAGGCCTGAGATCCTTCCCTCTGTGTGGGGAGACTCCATTGCACCCTCAAGACCACAGCTTTGTCCTCAGCTCTCTCCTCTTTTTTACAGCGCTGACACTCAGAGAGGTCAACTGGCAGCGCAGTGAAAATGGGAGTGCTCACCACACTGGCAAGTATCCTGGCAAAGAACTGGTTGTGAGAAGAGGACAAGCCTTCACTATCACCCTGACCTTCAGCGGAGAATGGAAGACTGGCCAGGGTTTAACCTTCGTTGCAGAAACAGGTAATGTCGCAATCTCCATCACCCCCAAGAGGGAGTGCTCCTTCATGCCCTTACCCCTTGGCAGTGTCCTCTCTCTCTGCCCAATGCCCACTCCTCCTTTGGCCAAGGTTGCACTGCCTACTCCTTGCCTCCCAGCCATTATCTCTGCTTCGTCTAGAGGAAACTGCAGGTTGACTTGAGAGCTCAGGATAAATCCCCTGTTCTTTGTTCTCTTTGAAAGGGCCGAGACCTTCATTGCAAGCTAAGACGCAGGCTGTATTTGACATCTCTAAACCAGCAAGCAAGGACACCTGGGGCGCAGGCCTGCAGTCCACCAGTTCCGGTTCTGCGCGCATCAGTATTTCCAGTCCTGCTACTGCTCCCATCGGGCGTTACAGGCTGAGCGTGAGGGTTACCTTAGCTGGCCGCTCCTCCACTCTGAATATTGGCACGTTTGTTCTGCTCTTCAACCCTTGGTCTAAAGGTACAAACAATTCAGGCTGTCCTTGAAATAGCTTACTTACCTATTTATTACCCCACACAGCTGCCCACGCGAGACCTTTTTCCTACAACTGAACTATGTATGTATCAATGCCAGAATAGCAGAAGGTCTCTTTCCACAGGGGTCTGTTCTGGGTCCAGGGGTGCTTAACATTGTCATTAATGATTTGGATGCAGGAATAGCGAGCTTCCTGAGCAAGTGTGCACATGACAGAACTGGGAGGGCTTGCAGACACTTGGGAGAATAGGATCAGAATTCATTGACAAATTGGAGAATGGGCAATAAGCAACAGAACAAAGCTCAAAGACAAATGGAAGGTGCTACACCTGAGGAAGAACAGCCTATTGCACAAATACAGAATGGATCATAGGCAAGGCAGCACTGCTAAGGAGGATCTGGATCACAGATTCCCCATGAGCCAGCAATGTGATAAAGCCACCAAAAAAGCAAATGCAATTTGGGCTGCAGCCTACTCCCTGCAGAACAGACCAGGCCATGTGTATGCCTCCCGCTTCCCCACCCACTCCTGAAATAATGGGAACAGACACGGGTGGGCGTTCACAGCAGCTCTTACAGCTTGAGGCAGGGTGGGAACCATGGCTCCATCCCAGGGGTTTTACAGCACCTGTGATTTGGATTTTCAGAGGATGAGGTGTTCATGCCCAACGCCGCTGAGTGCAACGAATACGTGCTGGAAGAGTTTGGGGTCATCTTTGTGGGCAGTTCATTCTATATGCACAGTTTCGGATGGAACTATGGCCAGGTACATGTGGTGTGGGAATGCTGGTTCTAGCCCCATGTCTCCTCACAAGCTGGATCGGCGCTTGCCCCCTCTTTCCCGTTCATCCTTCTGGCAGCCCATAATGCGCTGCGGCCTCTGCGGGTGTCTTTGGGATGCTGGCAGCCAATAGCCGTGCTCCTCTGCAGCTCTGCTGATGCATTTGAGGAGCAGGTATCAGGCCTCGTGTCCTGCCCCACATTACGGAGGACGAGAAGCGACCAGTTATCAATACAAACCAGGGATCCGACCTCCAGCTGGGGGAAGTCATAGTCTGTGCTGCTGAGGCAGAGGGCCCCACTGCCCTGACCCCACTTCCACTTCCTTGCAGTGATATCTAGCCTGTCCCTCTGTAAGGCACAGGCCACAGATTTTCACCCAGTAAGTCTTGCCTCAAGCCCGTAACTTTTCACTGAGCTGGAACCCCTTTTCAAATACTGATGTAGAACACTTGCACCCTGAATATTGATGGGGAAGAACAACGTGCATTACTTGTATACTGAGGTATTTTTAAACATAGTTTCAGGGAGACATTCTGGATATCTGCCTCTCCATACTGGACCGAAGCCTGGAATACCGCAGGGACGCGGCCACAGATGTCTCTCGCAGGAATGATCCCAAGTATGTGGGGCGCGTTCTCAGTGCCATGGTAAGAAATAGGTTAATTCTTTCAGCCCTGGAAATGTTGCAACAGTCCAAACCACTAAGAGTTCCTGTAGAAGCAAGTTCTTTGGTTTTTTAGACGAGGATGAAAATATTTCCTTGTGGGGCAAACCTGCTGAGAGAGGGACTCAGAAACCACAGCAACAAGCCAGAGAAATGCTCAGTGAGCCACTGTCCTGACCTGGGCTTCCCAGCCCTGTTGGGTCGCTGGTATTTGAGGCAACTACTGCTGTGAAATCTAAATGTTAAACCAGTAGCACAAGGGGGGTGGGTCTAGTGACAATTTTGGTGGTCCTACTCTGTGCCCCCGCCCCAGTCCTCCCTGTGATCCTTGCACTCTCCAGCTGCACTGCTTCTGTCCTAGAGCAATTCATACTTCGGCACTGCTACTCCTTTCACTAGTACTAAAATCTGCTTAAAACAGAGGAATCCCAGCACAGGAAGGATGCAATCCAGGCCAGAGACAGGAATATGCTAGGTTTTGCATCCACAAGGAATTTCTTTCTAGTAGTTTCAGTGAAAACAAAGAACAGCCTCTAGCTAAAATACACTGCTCTTTTTGTAGGCCTTTACAGTACATTTTTAAAACTCCAGGAATTGTTATGCAGACTGCAAATGCCACCGCTCAGGCCTTCACTTATAAGAACTGTGTTCCCTCCTAGAAAGAAATTTCACTCCATACAGGTGCTTGGCCTTCCTTGCCCGGTGCTACCGCTGTTTCAGGCAAGAGGTGCAAAGGGACTGAAAGGAGCTACTTGAGGCACCCTCTTCCCTGAAAATAAAATAAACTGTCTTCTTCCTGGCAGGTCAACTGTGCGAGGCAGCAACGTTGGTTCACTGAAATGTTACTCAAGGCAGTTGTCCTCTGCCTTCCTTTGTCATCTGTTGTAAACTCTGCATCTCTTTTATGCATTAATTGAATGTGAATTTTCCCAGGTCAACAGCCTTGATGACAGTGGGGTGCTGATGGGAAACTGGAGCGGAGATTATTCTGGTGGAAAAAGCCCAAACAGTTGGAGTGGAAGTGTTGCAATCCTGGTGAACTGGAAGCAGTCTGGTTATAAACCTGTTAAATATGGACAGTGCTGGGTGTTTGCAGCAGTGTTGGCCACAGGTAGGTTTAATTTAACACAGAGATACTGGTTGCACAGGTCCATTAAGGAAAATGCTAAACACCTACCCAAGAGTGATTCAAAGAAACTGGTAGATTGGCATGGCCAAGACAACTGTCCAGAACAACTAGTTGAAAACAGCCGTCTAAAAACTCTCTCTCAAATACTGTGTTTGTAATTAATTATGGGGTTTCTTTAGTGCTCAGGTGTCTGGGAATCCCCTCTCGTGCAATTTCAAACTTCAACTCTGCCCACGATGCAGATGAAAACCTGACTGTGGATGAATATTATGACGCTGCTGGAAATCCTCTGAACACAGGAGTAGATAGTGTCTGGTAAGTATCAGCAATATTAAACACTGACATCAATCAGACTTGCAAACACATAACAAGGGTATTACATGGCCTATAGATAGACACAAACTTCAACAAAAGGGTGTGGATTCCAGTGGTAAATACTGTGTTAATTTACAGTTAACATTGCACACAAACAATACAGATACCACTAACAACCAACAAGCCATTAAAGTGATAGAAAGGACCAGCTACAATTGCACCGTCTTCCAGTGCATTGTCTTTCTCCAATGAGCAGAACAATTTTTGCTGACTGGGACCTAAACACCACCCCATTTACATATACCTGACTTAGCACTTAGAGTCTGTTCTAACAGTGGATTATGACAGTGACCAGACCAGAAAGATGCTACAGGTACAGGACCAGAACTGATGGAAAACCTGGGGAATTTCCTTGGGAATAATCACACAGTGAGACTCGATTTGTTTCAAAAAGGTGCATGCTAAGGCATAGACTTTCAGCAGGGATGGCACCCATCTTTGCCCTTGCAGGAAGATCATTAGTGGTAAAAGTACACAGAATTATGGCCATAACAAAACAGAAAGTGCAAAAATGCAGGTGCAAGTTTGGGGTAGGATTGTCAGCAGCAACCATAGCCAGGAAGCTTGGTCAACCCAGGAGCTTACCAACCAGAAAACACAAGATTTTCTTTACCTTCCTCCATTTATAATTGTTGATGGCATCTAGTGCTGAGTCTCACCTTGGCAAACAGACACGACAAGAGCACTGCTATGCTCCATCAATCTTTGTCACATCAATGTGGCGCTGTAAGCAGCTGGGCATAACTTATAGCAGCTCTGAGGCTGTTTTGTGTCATGGGACAAGTAGTCAGCCATGTTAAGTCGAAGTCAGGCAGAAGGCATCTTACTTCATCAGACATTTTAAAAAGCTTACGCACCTCTGACCTGGGTCAAATCCACCCAGCCTTCTGCCTGATTTATGTTGTGCCCAGGCCCAGAATGCTCCTGGCTGGCCTCTGGATCAGAAACCCATAAAGGTTACGTAAAGCCTCCAATATCCCACACTAGGGACAAGAGCTGGGCCCACAGAAGTGTAAGAGTCAACCGAGTTAGTGATCATCCCAAACCTCTGCACACCTGGCACATGCTTGGTGTTCACCCTCTTTATTCTCCTCTATAGGAATTTCCATGTTTGGAATGAAGGCTGGTTCACCCGCAGTGACTTAGGCCCCTCCTATGGTGGATGGCAAGTCTTGGATGCAACGCCCCAGGAAAAGAGTGAAGGTAGAGCGAGTTCAATTCCAGGAAGTGACCGAAGAGAGGGCAGCTAGTCAGATTTGGGGCTGGCAGGGGAGGGGAACGAGAAATTCAGCCATGCCAAACAGGCTTTCTGTGCAAGGGCAAGAGAAGCTGTATCCTCTGCCCAATTTGTAGAGCCTCAGGTTACTCCTGCTGCCAAAAAACAAAAAAGGACTTCCACGCCGTATTCCCCCAGCAAGTCTGACATTTCCCACACAGAAACCTGCAGGCATCAAAAAATCAGGGGCCTTGTAAAATGAACTAGGTTTATCAAAATGAATACAAAGGACGTGCTGCCGATTAGATTGGCCCTGGGGCTGTACAGAAGAGGAACTGTCCTGGGACGGCAGGACTGTCCTCAACAGGTCACAGCTAACGTACCTTGCCTATCACATACTGGGCGTTTAGTCCAGACAATTCTAACTGTTTTTCTTGATGCTTCAGGGATATTTCAGTGTGGCCCTGCCTCAGTCACCGCCATCAAGGAGGGAGATGTGGATCTGAGGCACGACGTGCCTTTCGTATTCGCAGAGGTGAATGCCGACCGCATTGCCTGGACTTATGATTCTGCAACTAGGAAAAAAAAACCACTCCACACAGACACCAAGTCCATTGGCCAGTCTATCAGCACCAAGGCAGTGGGCAGTTATGACCGTGTAGATGTTACCAATGAGTATAAATACGAAGAAGGTAAAGAAAAATCTTGTTTCTGGCTGGTAACATTCTAAAACTGGCAGAACCGTGTTGGTAAGAGTCGGTGGAGGGTCACTTTACAAGTACTATAAACTGCCTGGGCAGACTTTATACTTTTAATTTCTGCAATCCTAAGAAAAGGGGGAAGAGAGAAGAGAAAGTGTTTTGACATACAATTCATGGTATGTTACTCTGGCACAAGGTAATATGGTTACCCAACCAGGTAACGTGGGTCCTAATTATGTTGTTAAAACATGCATTGTCTCAGCCTGTGCGTGTTAATAGCCACTGCTCAAGATGTTTTACAATCATTCTGTAGTCCCATTATCAGATACAAGGCACCATTTCGAAACCCAAGAAAATGTGGCAGTTAGTTACGCAAGAAGGGAAACCAATCTGTAGGTTCACGCTTCCAGATCGGCCAGTGCAAAATATAGAATGTAAACAACTGGCAACTGGATTTACAAATGCAAACAACAGTGCACACAAAACCTACAGCTGAAAACCATATGTCCAGAGGGTGAAAAGGCAGATAAGTCAAGCTCTTGTGTTCACGTAGAGCCTGAGCAACTAACCCTCAGCTGAACGGCTTCCTGTGTGTTACAGAATAAAGTTTAGCCTGTTAGAACTTACTGTGACCAGTCTCCAACGGTGAGAAGTGAAAGAGGAAAGGCTGAGAAACGGTGGACTTCGCAGAGTGTTTAGGGGCAGCAGCTCTAAGAAGAATGCATTTCTGTTGTCCACCCAATGTGTTAAAAGTGGCTGCAAACAGTGGCTCTGTTCCCACTGGGGGCATAGACGCTGGCACTCTACAACTCTGCTGGCGAAGCCTCGGGTTGTCGGTTGAATGGAGCTGCTTTTCAATTGCTGATTTTTATTTTCACGGTTCACTCTTTAACAGGCTCCCAGAAAGAAAGGATAATATTTAAGAAGGCTCATGAAAAGATGGTTCCAGATGCCGAGTTGAGGGGCACATCAGCGAGACTGCTGGAAATCATTCCGAAGCCCCATATCTCAGGAAAGTTCAAGGTTGACAGCCCCTTAGAGGTTGGCAAAGATGTCAACCTAATTTTGATTCTCAGCAACTTGACCTCCGTTGCTAGGAATGTAAAGGCAAATATAACAGCGTGGGCCATTGTGTACACTAGAAAGCCAATTCGTGAAATCTGGAAGGATACCCTGTCAGTCACTCTTGCTGCTAATGAAGGTACTTTTTGTATAAATGAGTATTCCAACTTTTACAACAAATTTAAAAGGAAATTAGTTTTCAAGGTGACAAATCTGGAGCAATAAAAAAAATAAAATAAAAAAACTACTAGCAAATGTGAAATGGGAAGGGATCTTAAACTAGAGTGAGAGAGGAAGATAGGGGTTCCTAAGACACAAAGTAGGTTCATTTTTTCCCCCTGAAAACCAGAAACAAAAAAAAAACTAAACATCTCTCAATTTGACTTACTTGAATACAACACAGACATGGGAAAATCTGTACCAGAAATGGGAAGAATGTGGTAAGGGAACAAGATAATGCAGAATAAGTGGAAACCACCTTAAAGTAAAGCAAGCAAAAAAGAGAGCTTCATATTGCCAGCCAAAGAGGTGGTGGGGCTTTTACAGATCCGTTGCTATCATGGGAAGCAGTAGCAGCATAGAAGAAAGAAATCTGATCCATGCGCTTGCTGGAATTGAACTTGGTTACTGAGGAACAACATAGCTGAAATGCCCTAGTTCAACCCTATCTGCAACAAGAACAATATGAACATTTCAGTTATAAGTAAGGAAGGAAGATTATGTAAAAATAGGCTTTTGCTGAAGAATGGGTGGAGGGGAAATTTAGAAATGCAAAGCTGCCTGGAGGTGCGGGCAATGTGCATCATAAGGAGTTCGGACTGGACAGGACTGCTGAGCTGTAAGAGCAGCAGGACAGAGGAGCAGCTCCCCAGGGAAGCTGTGGAATCTCCTTCACTGGAGCTTTTCACGGAGAAGCTGAAATGGCTTATAGACAGCACATCTTTGCAGAGGCTGAACTAGCTGACCCTTGAGGTCTTTCCCTCCCCATCCTTTGATTTTAGAACAGACTCAGTCAGGGCTCTTCCATGACAACTAACCGGTAGTCACTGAGGAAATAGCAAGCGCCAGGCTACCTGCCCCCTTTCCAGAAGCAGCTACAAACAGGAGAGAGGGCAGGCAACTCAACGGAGGGTGGGGAGGTGAAGAGACCAAGCCCTGCCCCGGCAGCAAGGCACTCTGCAGGAAGTGGGGCAGCGGGAGAGGGCAGGCACAGGGCAACAGGAAAATACCCGCATTGGTCGGCTGACATTTGTGAGGCTTTTACAGGTGAATCCCATCTCTCCTTTTAATGTTTTCTCCTTTTAGAGAAACAGCTTCCCATTAAGATAACATATGCTGAGTATCAGCAGCGCTTAACTACAGACAACATGATCCAAATCACAGCCTTATGCCAGGTACAAAGTGGGACTGAAGTACTGGTACAAAGAGAGCTCACCATGACTAATCCTCCCGTTGACATGAAGGTAAGGACCAACTCCTTTCCAGCCTAGAGAGAGAGAGAGTTGACTTCAGTGCTGCCCTGCAAAGACTCTGTGATCCACTTCAGTGCTGGGGTAAGGGGAAGGGGGAAGGATCTTTTGGTTTTTACATGCAAGCTCACCCCTGGCAGAGTGTGAAAGCTGAAGAGATCAGTTTAGGTAGCGCCTGGAAAGGGGGAAGAATTCAGAACCTGACCCTGCGCGTGCTTGCTCTGCACAGGTGCTGGGGGAGGCGAAGGTGAATAAGGCTGTGGAGGTGGAAGTGATGTTTACCAATCCCATTAACGAGGAGGTGAAAGACTGCATGCTGCGGGCAGAAGGCAATGATCTGCTGAATGGAAGCCTCAAGATAAAGTAAGTACAAGCAGCAGCTCCTTGCCGATACTAAAGATGCACACAACGGGACTCAGGCTCGCGCCTCCCCGAAGCACGTCCCGGATGGGACACCTCCCTCCTGGAGTCACTGGGAAGGTCCGTCTCTGGAAGTGAGGCTTTAGAAATCAAGGAAGCGATTTGATTGAAACCTCATCAGACCTCCGTTTTGGCTCTGAAATTTGTAGGAGCAAATAACCGTAGGCTTAATTTGAGGTAATTTATTTGCCAAATTAATTAATAGCACCTACATACCAGGCAAAAATCTAAACAACAATGGTGAGGTAAATGTGGTGGGACTGCTCATCACCACCAGGGACGAACCTGTCCACAGGACCTAAATTCTCAAGAGATTGGTCCCCATTGTTCAGAGTAAGTGGCAGTCTCTGTCACAATAGCTATGCCTGAAACCTGGGCTTTTTCTGCCGTTATAAAATGAACGCAGGTGCACATCCGAAGGCCCTTGTAACCGGCATCCAGCTCCCTGAGGCAAGTAGAGGTGCGATATATGAATGTACCTTGAGTCCCACTATGTAAGCAAAAAGAAGCTCGAATTGCACAAGCACAAATTCAGGAGGCCAGTCTCCTGAAAATACACCCTCAAATAGCCTTTGCATAACTATCACAGGCACAAAATTCCACCAGCAGTGACATGCGTATGAAAAACTGCTGATACAAAAAGAAGATGGATTTTAAATATCAGGCCCTAAATTTTTTTTCCTATTTTCTTTTTCTTAAGCAAAGTTGGATCTACTAATACTTAAAGAAAAGTACCAGTATTAGCTTTTAATTACAAGTGAATGCCATTTTAGACATGGGATTACTTTGAACTCCACCGAAACAGGTTAGGAAAGGAAGAATGAAGAAAGTGGTGAATACTGGGATAAAACACCTTTTTAAAAGCAACAGGGATAGCCGTTTCCCTAAACAGAAGTAACCAGCACACCGATTCTTCCACTCTGCATTTTGAATTCAAGTAGTGTCCCACTAAGGGGAGACAGAAACACAGTAAAGTGCTGCGCCCCTCTTCAGCAGGGGGCACAGTGCAGCTGTTACTAAGACAGTGAAGGAGAGAGGCAACAAGCTGGAAGAGAATAGCTGCTACAGCTTGCTCCTCTTTTACATTTGGATCACTGTGGTCGGGGGATGCTGTTTTTACAAACACAAATGGGTAAATTTGCAGACAGGTCTGTACTTGAATACATGGACAAAGTTACACTCAATGTTCTTCTTGGCAAATGTAAAGGCCTTCTGAAATTTCTAAGATTGGTGCACCTATGTTAGTCTAACACCCCTGTGCAACTAAATGTTAGTACATGACTTCAGATGTCTCAGACCAGTGCATCCCATACTTGCACCCCCTCCTCAGAAAACATAAAAGTCACGTTCAGGGCATCTCACATAACCCTACCCTCAGGGAAATCAGAGGTATGTAATATAGCAAGGCTCTTGGAGAACCAAAAATATGAACTTCCAGGATTTTCAAAGCTTTCTGGTTTAAAACACTTGAATCCATTATCGTTTCCTAGCATTCAAATATTTGAACTCTCTTATCCCCCCAAATTATTCTATTTTAAGGCAGCTGGTTATTACCAGTTCTCAGGGGCTCTGGTTATTTGTCTTGTGTCACTCATACATGCACCTTTACACCCCTAATTCCAAATGAAACTCAGGTCTCTCTCAGACTGTTTAGCTAGATCCCACCGCATCACTGCTGCTAGGTGTAGCTATCACGGGGATTGCCACATGAGCCAAAGGGAGTTAGGTGCCCAACACCCTAGTCGGAGCTGGACATCTAAATTATTTGGGACCCTCAGAAGTCCTCCACAGAACTGAAAGAAACACTGGAGTTTGGGGCAGCTGTTGGGGAAACTCAAAAGTAAAGCACAAGGATGTCCTAACTGATTTTTCTCCTTTGGTTCCTGTTTTTAAGTGTGCCGTCGCTGAAGCCCAATGAGACATCTGCAGTGCAGTTTGAAATCATCCCCACCAAGAGTGGAACTAAGCAGCTGCTCATTAATTTCTCCTGTGACAAATTTTCAGACATCAAAGCCTTTGAGACCATAAATGTGGCCAAGTGATCGTAAGATGGGGAGTGACCATCAGCTTGTTTTTGTGCAAACCTGAAGAAAAGTGCAAAAAAGCTCATGCTTGCTGTGAACTATTGCATCAACCTATTTCTGCTAGGCTGCAACAGACATCACATTTATCCTGGGATAAACTATTTTATCCCAGACAAAGTACCATCTTTCAGACATCCATGTCCATTATCCTGGGATAAATTCTAAAAAAGGGTCTTGGGATAAGAAGTACTAACAGTTTATCCCAGGACATCGCAAAATACATCTGAACGGTTATCTCAGCATCCCATAATTGAATACATGGCAGAAAAGCAGCAGTGCTTTTAGTCGCTCACTAATCCCGATTAGAAGGGTGGTGTGTATACATGCCAATCGTGGAACATTTCTGTTCTGGGACCAACACAGCCATAACTTATGCAGAGACAAATGCGACGTCTGTTCCTAGCCTAGAAACAAACTCCACACTCTGCAAACAGGAGTTACCCTGTTTCTTAATTATACATTTACATGTGCAATGAAAGGCAATTAAGTAGATTCTTCATGTATTGTTGTGAATTTTCATGTTTTGAATACACTATCTGATCATCTCTCCTGATTAAGCGTTTGGTTTTCTTATGTCTGTTTTTTTTCTTCACACACCATTTCCTGGTACCCCAGGTGCAGTGACCAGTGTGACTGGCCCCTTATGCACATTTTTCCACAGACTTACTCACCCTGCCTACTTTGCACTTGTAACAACAACCTCAGGTTTTCTGTTGCTTTGACAGTGCAAGCAGCTGGGATGATGTGAAGTAATGGTGGGGGCTTGAAATTCACCCCCTCCACAGGTGACCAGGGCAAGGCCCTCCAGATGCCTTATGCCCTGCATGGGCATTGGGGTTAGAGTGGCCATGCTGGAGTGCCAGCACAGTCTTCATGCATGAGGCGCATTCGCCTCATGGTAGCCAGCAGGAAAGTCTGCAACCGGAGTGGCTGGGGAGAGACCAGATGATCAGCAGCTGCACAGATCTAATGGCCCAAATCATATGGAAAAAATCGGTAGGGGGAAGCCGAGGTAACTATTCCAGTTCTCAAATGTGGTCTAAAAGGGCCCTTCCCAGAAACTCCCCTCCCTCTGTCATGCAGCTCCCTCCTCTCTCTACATGCCAGTCCCCAAATTCATTTCCAGCAATTATACACCTGTGCTAATATCCACTGGGAACCTCCACTCACCTTCCTTTCCCTGAACAATCTCCAACCCTGCTTCCAGCCTCATGTCACTCTCCCGTCCCTGCTTTGGTCACTAGATGCCGACAACCGTGCACAGGAGCTCAGGATATTACTGAAATGCAAGGAGAGTCACCATCACAAAAAGCCCAACATGGCAGCTACCTTGCAGACTGAACCCCACAAATCAGTCAAATGCTCATCTCTCATAGCACTGTCTGGGTGCACATCCAAGTTATGTCCATTTCTGGTATCTTATCAGCTGCCAAACTTTTGGCAACCACATCTGTGTCATATATGCAGTGCCACTGCTGGGTGAACATCCTTAGGAATCCACTGTTAAGGTGCATCCACAACTTTAAACAAATATTTCCAATCATTCAAACATACTATAATGCTTCCCAAGAAACAAAGAGCTGCTGCCTGCTCAATATCGCATCTGGGCAAATTAATACTGACTGAGCTGATTTTAAATTTAAGATGGCTGGCTGATGAACTCTGATATTCAGATTTATAACTTAACCAATGTACAGTGCTCCTTGCCCGACAAAAAATCAGCCAACACTAGCAACAGCAGCCTCTTCCTACCTATTGAGTCAGCAATAAGATAGTCATTACAAAAGCAAATGCAATGGGGATACATCAACAAGATTATTAGGTGTAAAAACATAGGGCACAATAGTACCACTGTACTGGGCTCTGGTTAGACCCCAACTAGAGACTTGTGTGCAGTTCTGCGCTCCACATTAAGAAGGACGTGCGTGGAGAGTTTGGAGAGGTTCCGTTCCAAAGACAGCAAAGAAGATCAGGGGTTTGGAAGGCAAGCTGTACAAGGAAAGGTGAAGAGACCTGGCCCTGATGCACTTGAATTAAAGGAGATTAGCAGGGACATGGCAGAAGTTTTCAAATACTGGAAAGGCTTCTTTAAAGAAGGTTGAGGGGAGAGGGATGCACAACAGTTCTTGCCCCATCCAGCCTGATCTAGAGCATGGAGCAGAGCAAAGCCAGAGATGTGGATCTGAACCCTCTCAGGTGGAGGAGGGTCTCAAATTGTCCTTCCCCACTTCCTCAGCAAGTGCCCCAGCATTTTTGCACTACCGTGCACAAGGTGGGCAGCAGCAGCACTACCCCTGCCAGGCACATTTGTGAGTGGCCAGGGCTGTCCACTTTATACTAAACTCCATGCTTCTGGTGCCAAGCATATGCTGAGCATGCCTGGCTAACAGATCAGGGATATGGGTGGACTCTGGGAACCTCCCTGCTCTCATCCAGTTCATGGCAGAGTTCAGGCAGCAGCTGAGCACCAAGCTGCTCAAACTGACTTACAGATTCACAGAAGTTTAGGGCTGGAAAGGACCTCATGAGATCATCGGGTCCAGCCTCCTGCTCCAGGCAGGAAAGACTGTGGGGGTCAAACAACCAGCAAGGTGCACGTCCAGTCTCCTTCTGAAGATCTCCAGGGTTGGTGCCTGCACCACCCCTGCTGGGAGCCTATTCCAGAGTTTGATCACACGAATGGTGAAAAAGATTTTCCTTATATCCAGTCTGATACCTGTGGCGGGCCAGTAGGGGGCGCTCCTGCGTTGAGCCGCCCCCCTCCCTGCGCCCGACCACCGTCCAGGCTCCGAGTGCCTTCCTCGGGGTGCCTCCCGTCCGGCCGACCCCTTCCCGGGAGCACACCCGCTAGCCTGGGGTTCCCGCTGCCACCAGCCAAGGCTCTGGACTCACTTCTGGCTCTGCGCACCTTGGAGAACACAGGCCTGATCGTCCAATGGGTGCTAGACCCAATACAGGCACTTGGGGCACTTCCCCAAGTCAGGGGCTGATTAGGGAAGCCTCCCTTAG